GTAGTTGGAGTCAAAGAACTTCACAAGAAACTCTCGAGTTTGGTTGTTTTGTTTTGGGTTTTTTCATTTCTTTTTTTAAATCTGTTTGTGACACTCATTTATGTATAAAGATTGTTTAAAGACTGCATCAGTTGCAATGACATTGGAGTCTGGGTCACACAGGAAGGCAATCTGAAGTTTTATTTTCTTCTCTATTTTTCAGTGCAAAAGTAAAATGGCTTACTAATAGTTTGGGCAGACTAGTAGCCTGAATTCTCTTGTAGAGTCAGTTCAAGCTAAAGATTAACTGGCATATTGTTTATTCCATCTCTGAAGGTTATAAGTATAAGCTAAATGTCGAACTATGCTAACACACAACTGCTGACTTTTGATGTGTTCTGTATCAACTCATGGCACAAAAGTGAAATATTTAGGTATGACAAGCATATATATTACCAGTTTGCCACTGTGCTCACTGCTGACTTCAAAATGAGGCTGTGGAAAAAGTTTTTAATGCTAAAATGTACACTGTCTTTGTGTTGAATTCTAGTGTTTTCTGGGACTGATGGAGAAGAAAGTAGCAAAACTTTTTAACAGTGGGAGGTGATGTGTAGGTCTGCCTACCGTCTGAAAACTAAGTGTAGTTGAGACTGTTAGTTCTGTACCAACTTTTCTGCCTTTGGTTCTGAGACTTGTAGTAGTTTAGAAGAGTCCATGCTTGCATTTTTGTTGTGTACTGTGTACTTGCTTTCCATGTCTGCCTCAGGCTCTCAGAACCCCTTTGGATGATGTTAGCTTGCTTGAAGCAACTTTGGTTTTGCTTTCTAGGGATAATAAATTAGTTCTGTGGAAAAATGAATGTTTCAGAGTTTAACTTGCATCTTACTGCACTGTAGGTTTTCTAGGTACACAACAGCATTTGACCATACTTCATATTTGATCAGGTGAGATATCGGATGACTTATTTGTACTTGGCTTCTCAAATGTCTTCAAATACTTTACAGATATCTTTTTGAGTTCTGGTGTTAAAATATGCATTTCATTTTCCTGGAGGTGGGGGAACCTTCTAACGCAGGTTAAGATCTTGAACTTCAAAATAAAATCTTGTCTTAGAAGAAGGACAGAAGTTTCCTAACTTGGGATGTACGTAATATTTTTTTAATGTAATTTCTTTTTAAAATTTGACTTGGTATTGCAGACTGTTTTCATTTTGTAATGTTAAAACTTGAGCAGTTGAATCAAATTGATGTCTTTATGTACATGCAAAAAATATTGCAGATAACTGGATAAAAGAAATTATGCCTTGACATGATGATTTCATATTTGCTGCAGATGCTGTGGATTTATATAAAAAAAACCAACAACAACAAGCCACAACAAATGCCTAAAAAAAAAAAAGACACAACCAAACAAAAAAATCCTAACCTCCAGAATGACTTTGCTAATTCATTCAATCAAAAAAAGGAAGAAGAGCTGCTGGAGGAAATGCATAATAAAAGGAACAAATCACAAGTTTGTGACTCATCTTGAGAGACCAAGAGGTTTTAAAAATGGTCATCTTACAAATTACTGCTTTCTAAAGCTTACACAGCTTCAGTTTACTCTCCTGTAGTTAGTACCCTCAAAGGCAGGCCTTAGTAGCTTAGTATCTTTAACACATGGTTGCAGGATTCTGGGTCTAAGTGTGAAATACCCACACAGCTGAAGCTCAGTCAAGGTGACTTTCATCTGTTGAGAAAAGACAGTGTAGACACATCCTGGAAAATAAGGAATTAAGTGGCTGTTAGGAAGAAGAGTGTAGGAAAGCTTTGGTTACCTGCATTGTTTGCTTAACAGTGCCGGGGAATTCCTGTCCCTTTGGAAAGAGGATGGAAAATATGTGATAGTAGCATCATGGTAGGTGGTAACAGCTGTCTGAGGCTGCTCTGCATTTTTCATGTTTCTTTTTTTGCACTGTTTGCTGCTGTTAACTAAGTAATCAGTTATAAATCAGTTTTAAAATAAGATGAATGGAGATGAATGCATTTGAAATTACTAAAACTATTAACTGGATTTATGAGATCCCTGATAAAATATTCATAACTTGCTTACGAAGCTGTCAGATCCCTTAGACTGTTTTGTATGGATTGGCAAGTGTCGTTTTGAAGGGCACTTACAAAGCAGTAAAAAGTATACCCTAACTTCTTTTCCTTTCAAGGCAACATCAATCTCCACACCTTTATTTATTTATTTATCTATTTATTTATTTATTTCTTGTGGTCTAATGTAGGATGAAAGCAAAAGTTTGAAAACTTTTTCTTGAAAGCTGGCAGACCTCTTCTAGGCCTGGCTATAAAGAATCACAGAATCACAGAATGGTAGGGGTTGGAAGGGATCTCTGAAGATCGAGTCCAACCCCCCTGCCAGAGCCGGATCACCACAGAATCTAGGACAGGTCACACAGAAATGCATCCAGGCATTTCTCTCTTCCTGGCTGCAGGCTTTTTCAAGTATTAAAGCTAAAAATCAAGGGTTTGCCTTATGTTGTCTTTGAAGTGCTTCCTAAATGTCAATATACTTATAAACAAGCAGCTCAACTGGATACTTTATATCAGTATCAGTCAGTTATCGCTGTCCTTGGCAGCACTCAGTGAAACATGAGAGGCTTCTAGTTATGGATGGTCAAGTCCAATATATGTCACTAATGAATTATCCTCATCTTTTAACAACTACTGAGATCCGTCCTTAACAGCCTAGAAAGGGTGCAAGTCAGTCTAAAAGGCATGTGGTATCAGCATTATTTTTTAATCTATAATTAGTTAAGTTTTAGTAGAAGCTAGTTGAGGACTACCACTAGCTTTATGAATCTTCCGTCTAGTAAGTTTTAATTGTTTTTTTCTCTGTGCACATGAAAATAATTTCCTACAAATCAGCTAGAATACAGAAATGGTGTGCATGGTACTGGACTACTTGTTATTTGGAAAGTAAATAGGTAAAAGGTGGCTCTGTGATGAGGCTATCCTCAAGATGTAACCATTTATAGTAAGAAGGAAGACAGGAACACATTGTAGGTCTTATTTGTTTCTGTGTTTCAAGAATCCAGGTGAGACAATTAAAAAAACCTAACAACAACCGACCACAAAACCCAGCAGCTACTGTTTCTTGTACATTTAAAAGGATTTTAATGCAACATCTGAAAACTGACCCAGAGCATGAAGAAAATGGATTAAAAGAATCCATGTTACATAGCTTTGCGAAGTGGAAGAGGCATTTGACTCAGTGGAAATTTAAGAAGAGATGAATCTTGGAAAGAACTGAAACAGAGCAATGTCTAATACTTTCATCCTTTGTGACTTACATGTTGATGATGTGCACAATTTCTTCTTTCCTGAAGCACTCCTGGTGTTAAGTAGTGAAGATAATAATGTATTATAGCCAAAACCCAACAGTATTCTCCCAGCTCTTCAGCTGAGTCAAGACCTTTCTGAAATAGCACTGATGATGGCAGGAACACCTTGAATATTAAGATACAGAGAAGATCAGGTAGAGCTCTGTTACCTTATAGGCATCTGTAGCAGTTTATTATATACTATATATAGCCCCCTTGCTATGTGTTTGGATGAGCTCGCATGCTTATCAGTTTTTAAACTACCAGGAGAAGCTGAAATGTCATAATTAGTGAAAGTTAAAAATATATTTGGAACCAAGTTCTCTGGACTCCCTAAAATTCTCTTCAGTGCTCTTGGCAAATGTAAAACAACAATTTTATTTTTCAGCACTTACCTCAGGTTGGATTAGACTTATTTATGTTATGTATTATAACTTTAGCCTAATGTGCTTGCTGTATGTATTTAAATTATTGTAGCTGTTTCCAGTGACCACTACCTTCAGCCTGTGGAAGTTTTACAATTTGTTAGAGATTGCTGTTGAACAGAGGCAATACACAGGGAAAACTTTAGAGAGATTATCCTGTCTTTAGTTTTAAATTCTGTGTGCATGAGACTTTTTGCAGAAAGAAGCTCTTTATATTGTACTGTGGGATGTGGGGTTGGTGAAGTGATGCTGTCCAGATGTTAAGTTAAAGAAAGTAGGGTGTCTTTGGTGGGTTGACCTTGGCTAGCTGCCAGGAGCCAACCAGGCTGTTGTATTACTCCTTCATCAGAAGGACAGAGGAAGAAATATGACTAAAAGTTACTGAGTCAAAATAAGGACAGAGAAGTAACTTGCTGATTACCATCACAGGCAATACATACTCTATTTAGGGAAATTAAATTAGTTTATTGTCAATTAAACTGAGTAGGATAATGAGAAATATGAACAAATCTAAAAAACATTTCCTTCCTACCCCTCCCTTCTTCCTAGGCTCAGCTTCACTCCTGCCTTCTCTGCCTTCTCACCCTGAGTGAGAAGGTCAACAGGGGGACAGGGAATGGGAATTGTGTTCAGTTCATAATACTTCGTTTCTGCTACTCATTCCGTCTCATGCTCCCCTCTTGGTCCAGCACAGAGTCCCTCCCACAGGTTACAGTCCTTCAGGAACAGACTGCTCCGGTGTAGATCCCTGTATGGGGTCACAGAACATGCAAGAAAACCTGCTCCAGCATGAGCTTCTCTTCACAGGGTCACAGCTTCCAGGAGCTTGATCTAGTGTGGGTTTTCCATGAGCTGCAGCTTCCTTTAGGGCATACCTGCCTGCTCTGGTGTGGAGTTCTCCACAGCTTGCAGGTGGATATCAGCTCCACTGTGGACCTCCATGGGGACACCCTGCCTTACCATGGTCTTCAAAGGCTGCAGTGGAGTCTATGCTCTTCTCCCTGTTCTTCACTGACCTTGGTGTCTGCACAGTTTATCTCCCATATTCTCACTCCTTTGTCCTGGCTGCTGTTGAACAGCAGTTTTTACCCCTTCATAAATATGTTACCACAGATATGGGGACTGCTTCTGCTGTCTTCTCATAGAAGCTACCCTGCAGCCCTCCTGCTACCCAAGTCTTGCCACCTAAACTGCTCATATTGCTTATGGTTTCATATTTTGCTTTTCAGAGGGCAGATGATTTCAGGTGAAGACTGTGAATTTATTCAAAGATTTGAACAGAAAAGAAATCCAGAAGAGAAACAGGAGTTGTTGCAAACTGAAGGCAATCAAGTAACTTTCTTTTCTTTTAATAATTAACTTTTGGCAAGAAGGATGGAAGGAAATTTTTGTACCAACTCTTACTGTTGTCTGTGTACAGTTAAGATGTTATGGAAGTAGTATCAAACTTGGAATTATGATTATTTTTCTTTTGAGATAGAGGTTGGACATTATTTTAAAAACCTATTAAATAATTGTTAAATGTTATGTGTCTTTGCCTGTGTTGTGGGACAAGCTAGCTCAAGTCATGCCTCATCCCAGTTTACTTAATCATGCACACTCGTGCTTCAGTCACATTTTTTTTGAGCTTTTTTTCACTTAACAGTTTATTGATGAGAGATACTACCAGTGAGATTTCTGCTTAGCTAGCTGAACAACTGTAATTTACCACTGTCCACTGACTGCTTGGGTGGATTAAGTTAATGCAGATGTTTAGAGTAATTTTTAGGCATGGTAAGATACAAGACATCTGTATCAAACTCAGCTGATAAAAGACTTATAGGTGACCCATGCTATTTGCCTTATGAAGTCCAGGCAAGATGCCCAAAGACACTTTTATGATATTTGAGGTAGTAGAATCTCAACCTCGAAGCCTGAGGTTGTAGAAGACAATGTCAGACATCAAGAGGATTGGTGGGGGATGAGGTGAACAGTAGACTCCTAGAATATAGACTTGAGACACAAAACTTTGCAGCACTTTTTTTCTACTTTGATTTTAGGCTGTTGTTTTGTTTGTTTGTTTTCCAAATTGAACTGTGTGACTGCAATATAATGGACCATAATTTGCATAGTGACAAAACCACATTTGGTGAAAATCAGATGCCAATATATATTTACAGTGTAGCACTTTGAAGTTCCATTTTTCTTTCAGTATTAGTTGAATGTGGTGAAGAGGGTGGAGGTAAATGCAGTGTTGTGACTGTTTCAGCCCACTAAATCTATTGCTGAAACCGTAGAGTAGTTCTGGAGGCAGAAAACAGTTCACATATTAACAAAGATTTGTCTACAAGGTATAGGAAGTGAACAGGTAAGAGTGACCTCTTTTCTCTACCTCCCATTCAAGCTGCTGAGGGTTTCTTAAGTTTGTTGCTGTTCTATGAGTTTACTTGGTTCTTCTCCTCACTACCAAAAAAAAGGATGCTGATGAAGATTTTTCTAATCAGTCTTTTGGCAAAGCACCTTGCTAACTTTAATTAGTGAGTACTTATTATTTCATTTGAAAGCCATAAACACTTTGTAAAGGGTAATAATCAATGTGACAGAAAATTTTATTTGCAATATAATGTCATATGTATTCATATCTTATTGCAATTGAATAAGATGTTGGGATGCTCAATGCTTATGTAAGACCTAACTGTGAATTAATGAAGTCCTGTTTCATGTTATCAAAAGAAATTAAGACAATTGCTGATATTAATTCTAATGTCTCTTATTTTTGTAGTGTGCTAAAACATTTATAAACTTGATGACTCATATCTCCAAGGAACAGACGGTTCAGTACATTCTCACTATGGTTGATGATATGCTGCAAGTAGGTCAATAACCTGTCTTTTTTTATAAGTCTTTAAATGCATGCTTGGATGTTTCCTTAGCCTAATTCAGGTCTCTTCAGGATTTGTCATACTGTATTAAAATATTATTTTAAATTTTCAGAAGTCTGAAGATTGTCTTTTCTGAAGATTGTCTTCAGAAGTTAAATGTTAGAACTAAATTTATATGGGTAACTTGGTCTTGTATATATGTGTTCGTGTTCTGGAAATAAAACATACCTATATGCTTCTCTGTTGGCTCTCAGCCATGTTTAGTACAAAACGTGGATGTTAAGAGATGATTTGTGATCTCATCTATTTCCCATCCTGTTGATAGGACGATAGGACTTCTAACTTGAATATACAAAGGTGTTAATTTGGCCCACCTCAGCATTAGAGCGTAGTTTCTGCAGTTTCAGGTTTCCAATGTAAGATAGACTGTTTAGCATAACGTGTTCTGAAATTCTGCATTGTTTAATTATAAAACAGGATATTTTGATTCAATGAAATATGTAGCTCTTTGTAGCTATGGGATACAGTGACTTACAAGAGCAGGCTGTTAAATTTTGTGTTAGGACTGCTGTGCTGATCTGGACAAGTCAAGAGGAGACTTTACTCCTCTTACTCTGGGTAATCCTCCTTTTGCATTTCTTTGCTCGCTAGTAGACCAAGAGTAAGTGGTTGGAGTGATGATGTAACAAGATAGGTTGAGTTGTGCAGGGTTTTCTTCTGGTATTCGAGTATCTGTCTGTTTGACAGTTTCTCTTCTGCTGTTTGGTGTTATATTTAATACAAGGTTACAGTGAAATGTGTCTAGTGATAATTTTATGGTTGAGGACATTGCCCTAGGAGGTGAACCATGTGATTTCTAATTCCAGCTCTGAGTATTCAGTATTGTCAACAGGCAAGTTGAAAAGTGTGAACCTCTCCACAACATGTATAACATGGAGATTATGGGGTTCTATCAGGTACCTGCACATTAGAGTCTGAATGAGTGCCCTTGCTGCTAGAATAATAATGGTGGTGGTGGCAGTTTATTCATGGCCAACTGCAGCTTTGTGTCTCTCACCCTTTTCCTCTTTCCTTTAGATTTACTTTTTCTCCACTGTGGCAAAAACAACAAGAAGCTGAAAAGACAAAAGGGAGTCTTAGTATCATTTCTTGATTAGGATACTTGAGTTAGGAGTACCTTGTTTTGTTTTATGCATTTGGTGATGAACTTTGTCTTGGTGAAAGCTCTGTTTATTATGGCTGTTTTTTTGAGGAATGGGGCTGATTTTCTGTGTGAATCATGTTGGTGGTCACAGAAGTTATCATTTCACTTGCCCTTCTTTGCAATGTATTTTGAGTGTTGGTAGGTCTTGGTTTGCTTATTATGTGCCTTGACATAAGCACATAGCCTATAGCTACAGTATGCAATAGCAGATGTTGTCTCATGTGCTGTGGAATTACTACTCCACAGGTAAAGGCTTTCCTTGGCCCACTCTTGAAGAATTGCAGTAGCTCTAGGTGGTCAAAGAAAGTAGTTTTGAATAATCTTTCATTTGCTGTATTGGTTCTGTCATATGTCTAGATGAATGTGTTTTCTTTATGGTCGTGCTCTGACACTTCCGCATTTGGGGACTTGTTCCACCACAGAAGTGACATTCTGAATGTTAAGCAGAATGACTTAAAATTGTCCAGGCTTTATAGTGGTACGTGAGAATAGAGACATTGGTGCACAGTATATGTTTGCTTTTGTCTGAAATTGGGTGCCTTTTTCATGTCAGAAGTTCTGCTGCACTTGCTTTTGCTGTGCTCTGTGTGGCTTTATTTTTCAGGGATATCCAGCTGCTGGCATAGAGGCATCTGTATGGCAGCATCCCAGGGCTTCTTAACCCTCTGTGCCTCCACTATGCCAGGCTGAAACAGGACTTCTTTCTTGTGGACATGTTCAGATAGTAGAGCATGCTGTCTGTGATGCCTTATGGATCCTTGGTTGCCCATTTTCAAGGTGCAACATTCTTGTTGGAAAGCATCATTCTGGCATTGATTGTGTGACTGAGTTTAGGGCAGGGTCTTGACAGGCTGCATGGACAGAAGAATCCACAATGGTGCCTGTGAGGGTCTCTTGTCCAAGTAGTCTTATGGAGTAAGTAGTACATGCAAAGATTTTAAGCAAGAAATTGTTCAAGGATATTTCCTGCCATGGTGCCACTGACCCTTTCACTAAAATTGTTTCAAGCAAAGTTGTTCACTGCAGTTTCATGAGACAAACAAATGGTATTTGAAAGCTGCCTTTCTAGCTGAAACATCTAGAAACTATGATTGGTAACACTATTAGCTTTTGCCTGTGTCGATAATGGCTGTTTATGGTTCCTCTATTATCTTCCTATACTTTCCTTGTGAGGTTGTAAAAATCACAGACACTGTGTTGAGCACACCAGAAGCCTGCCTGGGTGTCTAGGATTACTCCAGCAGTTCTGCTTATGGGTTTGATCATCGTTGTAAGAGAGATTTATTCTGGAGGCTGGCAGAAGTGAAATTAACGTGGTGATTGCCTTATAAGAATATCTCCATTATGCTTATTTCTGAAGGTGGAGAGTGTTAGCATATTGGAATCCCTGAGGAAACAATTCTTACTGTATTCATCTGATAAATATTTGGAACAATTTATCTGGATAAGTGGCCCTGTCACACTGTGCAGTCTGTTACTTATGAAATCTTTAAGAACCTGCACTGCAGTTAATGCAGGTAGCAGTACCACCCAACTGAGCTTCATTGTGCTTCTTCGGAAGTGACAGATGGTAAAATATTCAACTATTGGTGTGAGAGCTTCAGGATTTCCTTTTTATCAGTGTAGTCAGTAACTACCTAGGAAGTCTCAGCACTGCATCTTTCAGGGGCGTAGTCAGTTCTCTCATTCCTTCCCTCCTGTCTTTACCCTGCACCTTAACAGCGAACCGGATTAGTCTTCTGATGGACAGCATGTGGAAGTTCTTTCAGCTTTTCTGTTTCTAGACCTGTCTTATCCTTAGTTATGTTGTAAACTGAACTCATTGATCTAGTTTGATCATTTTGACCTTTTTAGCTAGACTCTGTAGTAGATGTTAATTGATTTATTTGATCAAACTGCCATTTTTCATCAAATTAGCCCTCATAGGATGGAGGCAGTCCACCGAGGCACTGTGTTCCTGAGATCTCACTGTAAAAAATTTATTTCATAGTTTGAACAATAAATTTTGAGGGAAGTTTTGAGTGCTTTTTGATACATGCCGTATAGAGCGTTAATCACTGAAAGGGTTATGACTGTCAGATAACTAGTGACGCCTGACCTTCCCCAGTCAGTGATCAGGACAGTGATTTGCAGCTCAGGGGATGCAGTGACCTTGATAGTTTTCAGTGAAGGGGAAGCTGCAACTCTGATGCTTTGTAAGGTGCCAGTACTTGGATCATGGATACATTCGGGTCATCCTGTGCTTAATGGATCCTATTCCAACAAGGAGCCTTGCCTAGCTGATTCTTGATCCATAGAGTTACTAATAGGTTGCTGAACTGATGGAGGAAAGCCCTTCACTAGGTGAGTTAGAAAATGAAATTAATTGGGTAGTGAGATGTATGTTCTTGTATGAGTTTCCCAATTACAGTATTTCAAACAGTTTTGCCTTCTGTGATAGAAGTTTTATATTTGGTTGTAGTAGCTTGACTTCAAGGGGAGGCATCTCTTTAGGCTGATAGCTTACTCTCCACCAGGCTGGAAAGTATATGGAAATACAGAGGAAAATTGGTTTTCTAGAAGACTGTCTATACTCTAGGATCTTAAAAAACAGCAGAGTTCCTCCTCCTACTTCAGGTTTGCATGGCCTCTTCTCTAGTCTGCTTTAAGGAAGACCACAATAGCTGCTTTTTCGCAGTGGTTATTAGGTGAAAAACTTGAATAAACTGCAGAGTGCCTAGGTTCAGGTGCTTGTCATCTCTTGTGGTTCAGCCTAGAAGCCCTGGAGAACTGACTTCTCTTGGTTAAGTCCTCTTCTAGGTATGCAAGTTGCCAGAGTGAAAGCTGAATCAATTGCAGCCTCCTCTGGGCCAGAAGAGCTCATTTCCTGTTGAGAGGAATGGAGAGGCAGGGCTAGCTAACTTCTCTGAAGTTCCACTTGTAGCACACACAGCCAAGTTGAACAAGAGGCTTTTGTATGGAAGCAACAATACTTGGAAAACTGTGTATGGACTTTATTCTTCATCCAATCAATTATGCTTGAATACTGTTCCCCTGCAAAGTGACAGTATTTAACTACTCTCCCATTTATCTCATTCTGCTTGCTTGATCAAAAGGGTTTTTACTCAAGCAGGTGTTGAAGTACTGAGATATAACTAGGGTTTCAAAGTTTGCCTCCCTGCTCTCCAAATCTCTGACCTTAATGTTGGAGTGCTGAAATGAAGTGTATCCACAAATAACTTATCAAACTGAGAAACTTCTGTGGGCTGTTACAAGCCAGGGTACACTCTGATAATGTATGCCAATACAATGAGGAACAAATAACTGCTTAATGTTGAATGTACAAGTCTCTCATCTTTTCCCCTCTCCCAATTTTTACAGGAAAATCATCAGCGTGTTTGTATCTTCTTTGATTATGCAAAACGTGGTAAAAACACAGCATGGTCCTATTTTCTGCCGATGTTGAATCGACAGGATCTGTTCACTGTGCATATGGTAAGTTTTAAATCCACCTGTCACTGAAGATGGTAGAGAAAAATGCTGCGTTAATTTTTCTTCAGGAGATTTCACAGTTTGAAGCTAAGCTACAGCCTGGACTGGAAAGTTTTCCTTTTGCAGTTTAGATGAGTTATTCTTAATATAACCTTCACCTGATTACATGTTAGATAGAAAAGTTACATTGTTTATTGATACTGTTTTTTCTATGACATTAGACCAGGTTTTAAAGGCTCAGAAAAGCAAGGATTTTAGATTTAATTAAGCACAGTAAGCTGTAACTAGAAAGATAACCTTTGTAACAGCTCCCAGTCAATGCTCCTTATGCTGTGCAAATATTAGAATTTTAGTTTTCATCCTGTAAAAAGGGACATGTCTTTACTTTGATTCTCTCATATGGTCAAATCACTGCAGTGCTGCTTGAAACCTGCTTAAAATGGTTTGTAAGCATACTGGAGAAGAAATGCTTGCTGTTGTGGTGGGTTGACCCTATCTGACATAAAAGCTCCCACCCAGTTGCTTGCACAGTCTAACAAAGCAGAACTGGGGAGAGTATTGGGAGGGCAGAAGCAAAAAAACACATGGGTCAAGGTAAAGACAGTTTAGTAAGTGACGGGGGGGAAGAGTGAGGAGAGGTGGAACCCAAAATAAATCCAACAAAAAGACACGATGTAAATGCAATTGCACACGACCAGCAGACTGACGCCAAGCCAGTCAGCTTTGGTCAGCTGTCCAGCCTATCCTCTCCCAGCCTCTTGCTCATCCCCAGCCTATATGCTGGAAGTGTAAGAGTGAGAAACATAGGTTGGTGATGTTGTGCAAGCACTGCTCAGCAGGAGCTAAAACATTGGAGTGTTACCAACACTGCTTTGGTCACCAAGCTAAACCACAGCACAATGTGGACTGCTATGAAGAGAATAAGTCAGTCCCAACCAAGCCCAGTACAACCACATGCGTGGTATGCTACCTGCTGTGCTTTGAACCACTGGGTGCTGCTGGTGTATATGGAGTAACTTTTCTGGAGTTACTAGTGTTCTTCTGCTGTCTGTGATGAGAACCGACCATTTAATCTCAGCAGGTTTTTTTCCTTGTAGGGGAAAAATATGGTCATATTACTGTGAACTCCTAATGGAGACCTTAGCGTCCACTAATAAAACATGTCTTCTGGCTTGAAGAAGGAGAAAACTTCATGGCTATGAATTTTATTCACTGTCTGTGTTTATGTTGGCATGCTATAGTATAATTAAATCAGTGGCTAAAACTACAAAGCCACATACCCTGGCTTGTGTTATGCCATGGTGGCACTACAGGAGCAAGGTATTCCAAGCTAGTCATGCTGTTTGCTCTTAGGTGTGGGCAGTGCAACAGTGTTTGATGCTGTGCTATGACTTGGAACAGTGAGCTGGCCTGTTATCAAGCCTGACATATTTTCTTGAAAGGGTTGGTTTTTTTTTTTAATTTTCTCTTTCTTTTCAATCCAACTGATCCACTGTGTGGCTATGCAATCAGGTTATGGGGTGCAGTCTGAGCAAACTCAGACAATATCGACTTCTCAAGGATGCAGTTAAAGTGTAATTTTTAGATCCTTGCAGTGTAAACTAATTAGTCGCCCTGGAATGGTGACTTTCAAATATATAGTATAGAGATTTCTATGTCTAGTGTTTCTATGCTCACAGATGTGATACTCAGATACTGTTTTCTTAAGTTACTGCCAAAATGCACAGATAACTTTCAAGTCACATAGAATCTCATGGGATGTGAATGCACTTTAAAACAGTAAGTTTCCTCCCTTACTATGCCTTGCAGTACTCTTTGTGCATATATTTTTTTAAAGCACATGAATGTTTTCAAAACTAATTTTTAGGTTTGTGTTGTGAGTTTTTTGTTGTTGAGTTTTGTTTTTTCCTCCTTACTGTGCACACTGGAGGACTTCTGATGCCACAGCAGTTCATACATAGAAAAAAATACGTTTCCTCTGTATCCTGGCTCAAATACTCCTGGTCATGAATGCTCTCATTCAGGGGCAGGTAGCAGTTTTAACTCAGGAGCATGGTAAGCTAGAGATCTAATACCTCATGTTCTAAAGCTGAAGGGATTTTATGGGGTTAGTTGGCTGCATTCAGAAGTGAATTTGATGCATTTCAGTGTAGAGATTGTTCTGGACTCTCACTCATGATCTCTCTAGAAATCAGTGGTGGTGCTGCTCATCTGAATGCAGTAGAGTGGAAATGTGCCTGGAATAGTCTCCTCACTGCATGGAGCTGTATGCAGGCAAGCAAACCCCTACTTCAATAGTTACTCGGTTAGATCTAATACTGGATCAAATACTTCTGTAGATTGCAGGCTGCAGTGTAGTTTTACTTCAAACATAATTTGGAAATGCTGGCATAGAAATACACTCTTGCTGTATGTATTATTGTGCTGTAGGCATAATGAAAATTCCTTACCCGACTACATGTTTACTCTTCAGCTTCGTTCTTAAATTCCACTTTACCTTTTGATTTTCTGCTCTTCTTTTTCCTGGCCTTGAAACCTCTGCCTTCTTGAAGATGACTTGCTTTACTTTAAGTACAGAAACTTAAATACTTTGCAATTACTGTGTTTGCATATGCCATAGTTGCTTAAAGTAAGCCTTCACATGTATGTTAGGCTGTTGAGTGTTGGTAGATTTCTGACTCTAATGGTGTCCTACAGCAGCAGTCCATCGTTAGCTTCTCGCTTCTTCGTGTTCTTCATTGTTACCTTGTGGACTTCATCAGCTACAGTTATCTGATAGCATTGTGAAAATACACTAGTTACTTGGAAGTAGAAGCAGCAGGAAGCTGAAGAAACAAAGTTATTAGGTATGAAGAGTTTCCTGCACAGAAAACAGGTAGATTTCTGTAAGGAGAAATCCATCTTTTACATAAATTTGGTTTCCAGAGCTTATTGGAACTTCTCAATAAATCCTGAAATTGCTGCATTTAAAAAACTGTTTATTGCATTCTTTTTCAGGCAGCAAGAATTATTGCTAAACTGGCTGCATGGGGGAGGGAACTTATGGAAGGCAGTGACTTGAATTACTATTTTAACTGGATTAAAACTCAGCTCAGTTCACAGGTAAAAAGCTACTTCTGTTTAAACATTACAGTGATTTTGGAAACGTCTGAGCCTATGAATACATAGATGTGCGAAAAAGAGATTTTTTGTTTTATGTATTTAAAATGAAATTTTATTTTGTCATTTTAAAATCTAAATATCCTTTATTCAAACACATAGTTTTAAAGTTAATATGTTATGTTTTCTACTAAAGTAAATGAAAATTTTAAAAGAAGGCTTTTTTTTTTTTTCCTTTTCTTTTGCTTAACATTGATTTTCTTCTGGTCACAGAAAACATGCGTTGAAGGATTTTCATAGAATTGAGTTCCAGCCCCCTTCATGGGCAGGGACACCTCCCACTAGATCAGGTTGCTCAAAGCCCCATCCAGCTTGGCCTTGAGCACTTTCAGGGAGGGGGCATCCACAACTTCCCTGTTGCCAGTGTCTCATCACCCTTATAGTATAGTTTTTGTCTCCTTGCATTTTGTTTCGTTTCTCAGAGCTTTCTGCTGGGAAGCACATGGCAGACGGAAGTGAATTTCAACTTTGTATTTTTAGTCCTGTCTCTTGAAACAAAATAAATCCTGGCTTATTTGGACAGTATCTTTGTGGCATTTGGGCAGTATGAGCTGCTTACTGATGGCTTGTCCTTCAAAGATAAATCATTGTATTAATTTTTGAGAATTTCCCTTCAATCCTTGTCAAAACCAAGTGATTTGTCATTCTGAAAGGTAGTGTTGCAGCAGAAGTGGATTCTGGAGAGCAGAGAAACATTCAGTACATTTAGTAACAGTTTATCTTTCATTTCTTTCCAAACTGGGTTTATAAAAAAGCTTTAGTTTTTTCTCTAAAAGATGAAATTTCAAGAGAACAGTTTTCATATTCTATGATAAAGATGGATACAAGTCTTTAAGTAAGTGCAAACTTAGAAAAATAAGTTTAAAAAACCCCAAATCTTGATCAACTCCAAGCATGTTCTTCTGGATATGAGTATGTATGTGAAATAAATACAATATAAGAGCATAACATATTGAGCAAGAAAAGTATTTAATAGACTCTTAATATTTTCTTTTTTTGTGACTAGGGTGGTGGGAGAACTGAAAGAAACTTTGTTACAACAGTTCTGGATGGGTGAAAGACAGCTCTGATTTTAAGCTTTTATTTTTTTTGCTAGAAACTACGTGGCACAGGGGGTTCTGTGGAAGCAGGAGCAGTCTCTACTAGTGATGTGAGTATATCTTTGAAATCTGTCAATTTGCAGTTTTGGGATGGTGATATCCATTCCGTGGATTAAGTTGCCTCAGAGCCATATTGGTGTCAGAAAGTACTTGGAATCAGAGCTGTTCGACAACAGAGTGCCAGGTGATGGCGCCAGGAAACAAAAGTATTTTTAAAACTGATTTCACAGTAAGTGCTGGTGGTGGAAGTACGTATTTTACAAGTTGGTTTGAGTTGTTAAAGCTGTAGATGTATCTAGCATTTTCTTTGTTGAAACTTGAAAAAATGATATGCAATTAATTAAATATTTGAACAGTGTGTTTAGCACTGAACTGTTAGACTTGCAGAAGAAACCTGAGACTAAGAAGTGATGTGCAGAACTTAGGAAAGGCACGTCAGATATTAAAGCTTGCATTGCCCCTCAACCTTTGTCACATGAAATTACAAGAGTGTTTTCAAAGCTGTAAGCTTTTCATATTTTAATAGCTTGAATTCAGGGTTCAGGATTGCCCTTTTCACATCAGTATTTGTTTGCACCAAACTGCACATACCATATACTATCATTTTAATGGCTGGTGAGCTTGGGGGTGAACTTCAGCAGTACAGCAAATGCAAGTGATCATCATCACTGGGCTTTCTTTTTTGTTGTGGCACAGTGAGGCTGCTTATTGTAGCTCTTGATTGTGGAGTAGAATTCAGTTTAGTCTTTTGTTCCTTTTGCAACCTGAAAGTGTTCAGTTTTTCAGGAGATGTAAATATGAACCTGGAATTTGTTTTTCTTCTAAATGTAGCCATTAGTTTAAAGTGTCTTAAATTACCACCTCACTGGGGTTTAAAATAGAAAAGATGAACGACTATTACGATCGATCATGGATAGAGGATAAAAGTACAGCCTCAGCATAGAAGCTGAACTGTTTCAGTATTTCACATGCAGTTCTATGTGCCATACTGTTAGGTTTTGTTAGGCTTGACAGCCCTTGGTCATATATCTTTAAAAGTGTACATAGTTCTGCAGCACACACCACCACTCATGGAGCTGCGATTTCTTCTGACTTGCTTACAATTGTGTTCATTGTTCTGTGGCGCTGCATGGACGTACTGTACCACTGTGGGGTCCCAAAGCAGCATGACTGACAGTGCAAATATGTCATAGGATAATTGAGTAAGTATTGTCTTGACTTCGTTAGTGCTCTGATGTCAGATCTAGCTTGTGCAGTATTTCCAAGCAAGTCCTTATTACTTTATTTCAGAGTAAATAAGAGATGCAGGTGTAACATTTTACACAGTTAAATGGGGGCTGGGATCTATTATAAAATTTAAATTATAATAGTTTTGGAAGAGAAGGCTTTTATGAAAGACTCCTTAAAAAGAAAATTCTAAGTTCAGTAGTACACAGGTTGGTAATGCAGATAAATTAAGAAATTATTTGGGGAAGGAAGGCTGTCTGTGTGTTAATAGCTGTTTTATTTGCATGGTGTGTGTGAGTGAATACCTACTCAGGAAATGAATGTTTTGTGTGATGATATAGCTTGGGTTTTCAGACTCAGTTTTTACATAAAGATCTTAATCTCTGATAAAAGACAAAGAATGAATTAATCTTTAATATAAATTCTGTTTATTTTCTCTTCTTATGAGATTGCCAACTTCTTTACTCCATTAAATGTTTGAAAGCTTTGACCTTGTATTATATGAGTGATCTACTGTAAGATTTCCAAGACACTTAGTAAAGAAAAATGCTTATAGGAAGAAGCCCCCCAAGAATGTATCAGCAGCTAGTCTCAGTATTGGTGGAGATAATGCCACAAGAAGAAGATAAAAAAAATGCCACTTCTGTTGTACCTTGGAATCTTTCTGTTGGTGTAGTGGAAAGGACAATGCGTTGACCAAAACCCATTTTTTAAATGCAGCCCATCTTATGTGTCACTGCCCAGAAAATACATGCTTTTAGCAATCATCAAATGATGATTCTGTCTTTGTGGCTGGTCATATAGTAGTCTGAATGAAAACAGAATTCAGTGATGCGTCTGTGTGTTTTTCTGATGGAAAGGTTTTAGTTCTACTGTTTGTTTTTTTGTAGCACAGTATGCTGTACTAAGCTTTTAATGAAAAGATGAAAAAAATAAACTGCAAAGCTAAGCTTTGAGGATGATTTTGTGCAGTTATTTTTCTAATGGTATTTTTTTGTATAAATATACATCTCATTAAGATAAGCATGGTACTTAGTGTGGCACATATGTAGGAAAATATGCAATTGTAATGATATCACTGCTGTTTTGTGTTGGAGAATGGGAGTGGGAAGATCCTGAGGTCAAGTTTCCTTTTTCTGCGATGACCTCTTGCTTCTTCATGCTCGGTAGCCAGTTTGCTGATTTATTTCCCAAAGTTTTTTCAATGGAATAGCAATTGACTCGATGGATGAAAGGACTCTGGCAGTATAATCAAACAGAGACAAACTTCGTTCTTAGATGCTAAAAGAAGTATGTTCCAGTGGGTTCCAGCAGTAAAAATCTGTTGTGGTAATGTAAAAGGGTATCAACTGCATAACACTTCTTTCCTGTTCAAAACTCTTCTCCATTTATATTGTGATTCCCACCTTTTCTTATTACTTTTTTTAATAGTGGGATGTGAAGCATTATAAGGGTGAACGTGTTTAACTCAGAAGTGTCACTGAAGAAATGTGTATTGAAGTATGCAATTTTGGAAAACTGAACTTCAGCCCTTTCTACCTAACTCTTCTTGTAAGAAATTATGTGTTCCTCTTTTCACCTAGAGTTCCCAGTATGTACAGTGTGTTGCTGGATGTCTGCAGCTGATGCTCAGGGTCAATGAATATCGTTTTGCGTGGGTAGAAGCAGATGGAGTAAATTGGTGAGCATTAATTACAGTTTATATAGATATACTTGCACTTAGAGTAGCATGTTTCCCAGTGACCTCTTTTGGAATAGAGGTCCTGCAAAAGACAGCTGCTTTCTTTTAGTACAAAGTCTGTTTGTTTTCAAGAATTAGTAGGGTCAAATAGGCAAATTAAACTTGCAGATATAGGTACTAGTGTTGAGACTTTAATGCTACTTTACTCTTCATGAAGAAATGCTTAAGTAAGGGGAATACAGCCATTTGCCTTTAGTTGAAGATGCTCTTTTTTTCTTTTAATAGAACAATGACTTACAAAATCAGTTTCTGCTGATCTTCCTTGTCTTACAATTTGGGAGTTATTCAGTCTGAAAATGTTAGTGAAAACAGAAACATGTTCTAGCTCTAAACTAATTTTTTTTCTATGTGTGGTTTCAAATAGGTCATTCTTTTATCCAGATTCTCTTCTTAAGTAGCTCTGCATGAGGCTACAATTTTGTTACACATCTGAATTAAAAAATGCCTGTCTATAACTTTTCTGCCATATGTGCCTCTGTTGGGAATGGTTTTTATACAATTTGTACTTCAATTAAAAATACTCTTGTACTCTGAAATGGAGAAAATTCAAAGTTGCCTGTGAAGTGAAAGTTCAAAAGATGTTCACTTGTCACGGTGACACTACTGAAAGAAATTTTTCACCAAGGAAGCTGTTCAATAAACTGTTAAAGCATGACAATAGCCCTGTGTTTTAGCAAGTTTGAATTTGTCTTAATTTTTGTAGTAATGATCTTGAAGTAGTTTGTTGGATTTTTTAAATTTATTTAGCTTTTTTGGAATGGACTTGCAAATTGTTTATTAAATTTTCAAAACTTCAGATGAACAAAGCTTCTGCATCAGTTGGAGATCTCGTGATACTTCTTGTCCAGCAGTAGATGTGATGTGTTGTATCTATAAGCTGTTTTCTGAGGACTCACTTGTTAGGCAAAGACTACTTCAGCTTATTCACTCTTGTGGAGAGAGAAAATTAAGGAAACAAGTTCAATTCATGTAATTTTTTTTCTTTTACTCCTTTTTCTTAACTCTGAAGGAGTAGCCTCATGTTTCTCTCTTTCTCACAGAATGACAAATAATACTCTAAACGTACCATTAGAAAAAAATTCTCTGTGAACCTAAAGATGGATACAGTACGACATCAGTTCACATGAAAAAAGCTTTTTTTATATCTGTAAGACTTAAGGAGGAAGTAACTGCATCTTTAAAAGACGGCTTTCTGAACTAGCTGCTTGTACAATGATAAATACAGGTTCAGGGTACTGTGAAGTTTGTGTTGCATACTCACCCTCGACACGTTAACTATTTCGTTAAATGTTTCATGCTGGAGCAATGCAATCTGTGCAGTTATTATTTAAAAAAATGTATACTATGTTAATTTTTCAGTATCATGGGCGTCTTGAGCAACAAATGTGGCTTCCAGCTCCAGTATCAGATGATTTTCTGTGTGTGGCTACTGGCATTTAGCCCTCAGATGTGTGAATATCTCCGTCGGTATAATATTGTTCCAGTGCTGTCGGATATTCTTCAGGAATCTGTCAAAGAGAAAGTAACTAGAATCATCCTTGCAGCATTTCGGGTAAGTGTCTGCTGACTGCAATTGCACTGTGCTTGTCTCTCAAATGAGTAGGTCTCAGGTGTTGCTGATGTGCAGCTGTTTCTGCTACACAGTATCAGTAAATAGGATTGAAAGCTTAATTATCCTGCTCTTTTTTTCCTTTGTGACATGAGTTTTGCTACAGGTAGTAGCTATGCTATTACAGGGAATAAATGTTTGCTATCCGATTATTTCCTAAAAAAAGGTTGATTAAAAAAAAAAATCTTCGTTAATACAGGCATTACAGATTTCCTTTCTTTGGTTCAAGATTCTTTTTTCTACTAGTACTAGTGTAAAACAGTCTAGTTACTAATAACTGATAAATTTTGTGTTATAAAGCTTTCATTAAAAATTCTCTAATCATGCATCTGTTTGTCCAACCAACCGACCTGGAAATTATTTTTATTTACTAGCCTAAAAAAATCTTTTCTTGGTGACTTTGTCAAGATGAATGAAGATAATCAATGGTATAGGAGTTATTACTTGACTGTGTTCATGTTACCTGAAAATTGCTGGTCCTGTTTAAGATAATTTGAAATAACTAAGCACCAAACTTGCTGTTTTCATTGTGAGAGTAACAATTGCTGTTCACAGATGCTAACTCTGCATGTGCCTGTAGTTTGATGTACATGCCTGTCAAGTGTCTTGTATGTAATTTAGGAATTCTGTAACAACTTGTAATCCTGTCTCAAAACAGGACTTGGATGCTGACTAGGAGATGTAGAACTCGGTACCTTTTTGTTTTCCTGGGTATTGATGGTGTTCCAGCAGTAGGTGCTGCAAGTAAATTAGGATGGAGAGAGCAAATCATTAGTTACTGACTTGCGATGAGGAATAACAAGCTGTGTGAAGTTACTTCCTCTGTGCCTTAAATGGTCTCTTTATCCAAAGCATCTGATACTTAGAAAAATTTCTGGATAAGGTAAATCATAGGAATATGCTGTTCAACCTGTTTAAGGAAGTCAGTAGAATGAGGTAGATCTCTGAGTAGATCTCTGTAGATCTCTGTAGGTGTTCTAGTGCTCTTTAGCATCTTAATGTTAGGATTAAGCAGGGATGTACAGCAGGACAGCTTGAAAAAAAGTTGAAGGGCTCAGCAGTTTATTCCAATTCTAATGTAATAAAAATTAGGAGAAATAATTGCTAGCTCTTAGTGTGTTTTGCAAGAAGAGACAAATTGAAGCCAAGTTCTTTTAATAAATAAAGGCTAAGAATTAATAAAATGGTTCGGATACAGGCTTCAGAAAAATGAACTCAGCAGTTTTCTTTCTCTTAAAGACTAATGTTGGCATCAAGAGGAGGTTACAAAGTGGCAGCCAGGAACCAAAAACTTAGAAATTAGACATCGGAGCTCTGAGTTCTGAAGCAAAATTTAAATTGGTAGCACAGGCAAAATAGTCCTTTTTCTATGAAAGGCCCCAGTATCAGTTTATGGGGAAAAAAAAAGGTGAATTGCATAAAGAACTAGGCTTGATCATCCCTACTGCCTGTACATCACTGTACATCACAGGGGTCTTGACAACTTGTATATATCTTTTCTACTACTTGATTTCTCCTAATTTGACTTGTTTCTCTACCTTCTCCTTGAGCTTCTTGAATTTTGACTTTTAAGATATTTTTATTTTTAATTTGGCTGTCATTAGCACTCAGAATTCTAAGTAATTTAGCATGACTTTCTGTGAATTACCTTTTACTTCTTGGTTCTCTGGCTAAAATAAAAACGTGGGGGTTTTTGCATATTAAAGCTAATTGTATGTGGCCATTAAAAGCAGTAATATGACTTATTTTCAATATGCACATTTCAAGATCTGTTTGCAGTGTTCTGTTTCTAACCAGTAGGATGTCTGATATCTTAGAAACCTTAAGTGTAATGGTTCTGTGACACAAATGAGAGTGGTGAAGTCATGTTCCTTTGATATGGTTTCATTGCTCATTTCTGGCTTATTTATATGAACACATGTTCTATTTGTTACGGACTTTGTCTTTTAAATGGAGTTCATGTTTTCAGCTTTATCAAAAAGTGCAGGCGGTTAGCTCTGATCAAACAGCATAATTTGAAACTGATTCAATTGAGTAGAAATGTAATGAATAAATGACATTAGAACTTGACTGTTACATTCTGTGCTTGTAATTCCAGTCTTCCCAACAAGCATCTGTTTGAATGAAAATATCTATTTGGAGTATTCCCAAATTCAAGAGAAGCTGATCTAATTTAGATAGTAACTCTTGAGTTGGAAGGCTGACTTCAGGGCTTTTTTTTTCTTTTTTTTAAAATTTATTTAAGAATTTCCTTCTTTATGCTATTGCTGCACAGAAAGTTAAAATTATAATCCCAGATTATTAATTTCTTAAAAACACCTCTTTTTTCCAAAATAGTTTATTCTTAAACAGAATGACTACATTTTTACTTCTCTAGAACTTGTTAGAGAAGTCTACTGAGAGAGAAACTCGCCAAGAATATGCTCTTGCCATGATTCAGTGTAAAGTTTTAAAGCAGCTAGAGAATTTGGATCAGCAGAAATATGATGATGAAGACATAAGTGAAGATATTAAATTTCTACTGGACAAGCTTGGTGAGAGCGTGCAAGACCTTAGGTATGCTTTGCAACGTGAACTTTAAAAAAATACAGTTATATGAACATTGGCAAAATCTTTTTTCTTTAAGGCTAAATAATGTACAGAATTATGATACATAAATGCTAGTTGGTAAGGTAAAGTGTACAGAGATACTGGTTTTATATGAATGTTTCTTATTCTAAGTGAGTATTTGCAGGCTAGAAGATAAGTCATCACTTTTGGATATGTGATCTTCATAACTGATAAATTGTTTAAGGGACTTCAGAGGGATCTTGCAGGAATCACAGCCTAGGCTGAAGACTACCTAATTAGAATACATTTTGTGGTACAGATTAACTCAAGTTTTTGCTAGTGTTTACCTAGTTCTTGCTCTTGTGCCTAAACTGAGCTGCATGTTGTAGTTCATGTCAAAACTTTAATTGGATGAAAGGCAAGTACTGAGATCCTTGGTGGGGAAGGTTAAAATCAAGAAAACAGGCAAAACAGCCATTTAAATTCTGAGTTGCTGTGGTTATGTGGCTTGGGTTTTTCCTATAGTTTATTCTTTCAGGAGTGTGTTTTGGATTGGGTGAAGGGCTGTGTTTGGATTTATTTTTTTTCTCTTGCCTTTCATGCCTTTCCTTATTTCTGGTGTTGAACTCTGAGACAGGGAACAGTTCTCATGTTCTGCAGAGAGCTGACTTCCAAATGTGTCATAGCAAGTTGTGCTACAGTTTTGTCTTGCTAGGGACAGGCTTGAGTATGTGGTTCAAACTGTTCATATAAGCTTAGGTAATATTTCGTTAATGTCTTCTGTGTTGCAGCTCCTTCGATGAGTACAGTTCTGAGCTCAAGTCAGGAAGACTGGAGTGGAGTCCTGTACACAAGTCTGAGAAGTTTTGGCGGGAGAATGCTGTAAGACTAAATGAGAAGAATTACGAGCTACTCAAGTAAGTTTTCAAGTCTTTAATCACACAATTTAATATTTTCTGTGCTTAACTGAACCTGTATCTAATAAGGTTTGACATTTCAATGCTAAGTAGATTTGAAAGCAAGTCAGAACATCTTGCTATTTTTAGAAAGAGGTTGTGAGGTATGGTTTGTTTTGTTCAAAATCAGAATTGTTTATTTGCTTTTGCTGGTCAAAATGTATTGATGGCAATGATAGAGGGATTAGTGCAAGCTAATTTACATGCAGATTTGTGCTGTTGAGTCTTCTAATGCTTTCACTTGAAAAAAACCAGCTATACTAATCAATGTAATTTAAAATGTTTTCACCATACCTTAGTCTTAGATAAATGACAACACACAACACAAAAACTGAGTAATGAGCTCCTTTCTTGAATACTTGTGGTGCTGTTCCATGGAAAATACAAATTGACATTACATTGTAGCCTGTTTTGTGTTGGGAATGTGTTTGGTATATGTAGATTGTTAGATGAAGTGAGGCTGAAGCTCGTATTTGCTTTTGGAGTCAAGGACTTAGTTGCTGGCTTCTGAAAGTATATACTCAAAAGATGTCTAGATCTTAAATAGCTTGTAGGAGCTCTTAGATGTTTAACTATGTTGTCATCAACTGATAATTTGTGGTCTTCTGGTTCACTGTTTGCTAATGAGTGCCAGACCTAGCAAGAAGCAGGAGGTCTAGTGGAGCATGTGAAATATTTGAAGGCATGGCAAGAGCAAATGGATCCTGAGTTTTACATGCATTTTGGTCTGCTCTGAAACCTCACCAAAACAAGTCTGATAAGTTCCTCCCTGAGAAAATGTTGCCAAATACATAGGATTATAGACTTAGTAATTTTAGATGCTGCCAACTGCAACATGAAGTTGATGTTGTTGTGATGGCTTAGTATTTCCTGTGATGTTTTGCTATAGTAATCTCTTATGGTTCTGTGACTGTTAGGGAAATTTTTTGTGCTTGTGCTGCCAGTCATTGACAACAGTTCCTTAAAAAAAAAATTCCAAACCAACCAAAAAACCCCTGCAAAAAACCAGCCACTCCCCCTCCACTGTGGTGAGGAAAGTCTTGCACCTCAGAACTTTTGTGTCGCAAGGCCTTTTACAAACAGTCCTTATTTTTGCTTCAAGACACATAATTTTATTTTCCCTTATCTTTCAGCTTACTTATTTTCTAACTCTGATGTACTAAAGCTTACTGTTAAACTTACTTTTCCCTCTGCTTTCCATCTTTACTGACTTAAGTGGTGCTGGACTTGTATTTTGTTTAGCAGTATTATTCAGTGTTTTCTGATGAGTGTTACGGTTCATGTTTCTATTCCTACTTGTCCAAATTAGGCATTTTTTAAAACGAACAGTGCTTTGTCTTTCACTTTCTGGCCTCTAGGGAGACAGTGTCCATAGTAATTTAATTTTACCAGAATGTTTGGTGGGGGTTTTTTTGTTTGTGTTTGGTTTTTTTTGTTTTAGAATTTTTAACCTACCTAAAAACTTCAACTTTTGACTAACTTTCTGTGATTGGAGCACATTTGTTGTCTCACTGAGCATGGAAGAATCTAATTTTCCAATGGTCTATATATTTAACCTTTTTAGCTTCATTATTAGTGCCTAACCTTCATGTCTGTGTCATTTTTTTTCCCCCTCCTCATTGCTGCCTAGAGAGCAATGTTACTGGTAGCTGTTTTCCACTAAAACTGATTGAACTACTTAATTTAAGATTGCAGGCAATATAAAGCATTGAGAAACTGCTTTCTATTTCTTACAGCTCTATATTTCTGTTCATGCTAAAAAAATAACTAATATATTAAATATGAGTTAATCTTAAAGTATAGTTTTCATCATCTCAGGACAGAACTGCTTTTTAGACCTCTTAAGTTAGTTGACTGAATGAGTCAACAAACAGGAGTAGTGTTTCTGAGATGAAGCTGATGGTCTTGAACCAAGAGAAATTCACAGTTCAGCTCCATGTGCTGCTTTGTTTTCAAGTGCTAGGATGCCTTTCCATTTTTAAATGACTATGTATAACAGTGTCCTGCATATAATTCTGCCCTTCTCATCCTTCTGTCCTGCACTGAGCAAGGCTACTGTGTTAAGGTGAGGGAAGGGGTATAGCTGGGGAAAGGCTGATAAGATACAGGCCTGTCAAAACCCTTTGCTGTGTCATGGACAAAGTTTCTGAATCTGTAGTCCAGGATCCTGAGTGCAGGAGCTGGGAACAGCATGCAAGCATGACTAGGGTCTCTTGTATAAGAGAAGCAGCAGCATCTGTTGGCCTTGTGTAGGCTTAGGGTTTGTGTCCCACCTTTGTCCCAGTCTATAAATATTTATATGTTTGGTTAGTAGAGCTTATTGTGAAATCAAAACTGTTGGTCTTGAAGCCAATGTATAATAAAATAAGATATTTTGTAAACAATGGTGTAGGTATTTGTAGATGCAGCTCACTAAACTCACTCTAGTGATTACTTTTAGTAATTCTGTCAACTGGGGTATGATCTCTATTGTTTTAAGTGCAACTGCACATTTTGAAAAAATTATATTTTAACTTTGCTGTTTTGGGGAAGTTGTAAAGTATTTTTATGGTTGCAGGCTTTGTTATTTTAAGTAATCAGTGATTTAAAAAAAAAAGACATACCCAAACCAAACAAACCCCAAAACCCAACAGCTGGGCTATAATTGTTTCAAATCCTTTCCTAGAATCCTGACAAAACTTCTGGAGGTTTCTGATGACCCACAAGTGCTGGCTGTAGCTGCTCATGATGTGGGAGAATATGTACGACACTACCCCCGTGGGAAACGGTGAGAAAAATGCCTGTGTGGTATTATCCAAGAGACTAGCTTGAATTTGTTCTTTATCTCTTTTGCTTATTTATATTAAAATATGCTACATTAAGATTGCGGGTAATGCTTAAGCTTAAATGAGTCATGTTTCAAGACTGGCTCTTCAGCATCCAATAACTTGTTCAAATCACCACCATTTGGGCTTAGTGCGCTGTTGTTATGGGGAACATTCCCTGCGGAAGATCTGCATGTACCATGAGTGGCCTGCTGGCTTTTATTACTTCTATAAGTTAAGCAGAAGTTGAGGAGAGGGAAAGCAGAATTAAAAGTAGTGTTTTGAGTGTGTTTGGAACTTGGAAGGAATGGCATTCACTGTGAACCTTCCTCACAGTTGCTTACTTTTTGGTTTGAAACACATGGCTGGCAACTGGTTTGAAGCACTGGGCAGTGTTATGAAAGAATGGTAATGCTGTTCTTTGATTCTACATGTTCTCAGCCATAACTTCACAGTGATGTACTGTCCTCCAAAATACTGTTTTCATTTGTCATTATAGGATTTCAACTTTTTATTTTGATATTTGCATGCTTTTGAGTTTAATACCTGTTTTACTTCCTTTCATTTCCTGAACAGTCAGTGTCCAAGTCAGTCCTGTAATGAGGAAAAGGTTCTTGTTTGCATTCCAGTCTTGTGTTTGTGTACAGTGGTCTTATATTTAAGGAATGATTAAAAATTTGAGGAAAATTAAGGCGAGTGAAAATGTTTTTTGAATCATGTTAAAGTTCTAATAATTTCTTATTCTTCGTGAGGATTTCTGGCTTAAAACAATTATACTTTTCTGGGATGCATTCCTGTTGTGTGAAATTTCTTTAAATGTTTTAATAAGGTTGGCACATATTCCCTGAGGTCCCCACGATAGTTTTTGACTAAGTTATGAAATGAAATGGGGAACTTAGTTTTTTTTTATCTCCACGCTGTTTTTATATGGTTCTGAAGTGTACAAAAATGTGGTGTGTTTTGCAGCAGTAATTAATTAATTTGGCAGTGAAAAGAACAGTAATAAAAGCAGACAGCTAACGCAAGCTTAGAATGGCAGGATAGCATCAGGGTAAGAGTAATGCAAGCGATAGCATCTTCACAAGATACAATGTTTAATTACTCAGTGACCCGTGAGAATAGATAATAAAAAGACATATGCAAATCAGTGACTAATCAGTTTATATATTCCTTGCAAATTCTCTCCATATTTTCTTTGTGATGACAGACCAAAATGCTGCGTGTAGAGAGTCATCTGGATGGTGATACTTGTTCAGGTTTTAAGTGTGATGCCTTCCGTTTTGTTTTTTTTTAAAATTTTTAAAATTATTATTATTTTTAAGAAATTATACATTCATGGCGTGATACAAGGTTTCATCAGTATTTTGTGTGGGATTTGGTGCAGGTATTGAAAGTTAAGGCTGACTGCTATGGTGAAGTTGGCAATGAAAGATGCAGCTCAAGCATACCATTTTTATGGAAATGTTAACTTATGTGCAAGACTAGCTGTGCCTCTAGTACAGCTTGACTGGCAAAAAGCACTATGAGGAGTACCAAGTGGCTGGTTTAATAGATATTGGTGTGATTACAAACACTTTTTCTGAATTAGGCAGTGCCAGACTGAATCTTGGGAAAAAAACAACCAAACAATCAGTGAGTGATCTGGTTATCATCTCTTTATGGAGGGGGGGGGCACAACCTCCTCCTAAATTAATAATTGATCATGCTGTACCCTGCTAACCCTCTTGGACCAATATTAAGTTCTTTAGCAAGGTGGGTAAAGCAAATAACCCTCCCTTTAAAGGGCTTCTTTATTAATGGTTGTTTATTTCAAAATTTATGTAAGTGGGTAGTGAACAGAAGAGTCCACTACAAACACTTCCTGATGTTGAGAATTCTTAAAAAAAAAAAAGTAAAAATCAGTAGGTGGTGTAAGATACCTGCCTTTGTAACATGCCAGGTAAGATGTACATGTTAGGAAATAAATAGTTTTATTATAATCAGTATCCCATGACTTAACTTTTTGGTGCCTTGCACATGAAGTGGTTGGATAGGATAGCTACCCAGAAGCTGATGTCAAAAAACCTGTTTCCTTCCTCTCTTTCAGAGTGATTGAACAACTTGGTGGTAAACAGCTGGTAATGAACCACATGCATCATGAAGACCAGCAAGTTCGTTATAATGCACTATTGGCTGTGCAGAAGCTGATGGTTCATAACTGGTACGAGAAGATTATTTAACATACTACTACTACTACTAGTAAGAAATCTTGAGCTGTGGAGAGAGGATTCAAGACAGTACATTTTAATGTGTAAGACTGCAGTTCTTAAACAATAAAGCAACTTGATGCTGATGTGTGAGGTTGTAGCTAGTTTTTCTGTATGTTTTTGTTGCAGTTGAATTGAGTTACAGTCTCCAAAATGTTAAGGATGTCTGTAGGTTTTTTAGCAAGCTTACTTAATCTCAATTAGAGGAAGCAGTAGCTTGAAGTAGTTGTAAGAGTTGGTGTTTCAAGTACTCAGTTGGCAATTGTTTATGAAATGCATGCCTGAGCATTCTTTTGCATTGTTGTTCTTTGCTCTAGTTCTTTCCTCCACTCTATACTGTTATTTTTCTGTTGCCATTTTAAGAAGCACAAGTACATTTTGTCTTGAGCTCCTACAGTAGCAGAAGCTTATGGGGTGGTTTGTTAGATGAAGTGGAAAATTACTCATCAGTATCTGTTCCATCAGTTGCTGAGAGTAGCATTTTAAGTGAGGTTTTTTATTTGTTGACTAGTTCTTTAACTATTTCTCTAATAAAACTCCCAATCCCCCAAAGTTCTGGTGTGTTCTGCCAGAGAACTTTTGCTGGTGGGTGATGCTTCTTTTTCAACAGAGCACAGGTCCTTCATAGTGAAGCACTGTAAGGACTGAAGTTCTGAAAAACTTTGGTGTTCATGTAACAGCTTTATATATCTTGCCAAACTAATTAGGTATGCTAAGCATAAAGCATGGAAAATTAAAAACACTAATTAGGAACTCTTAATCTGATTGTTAATTATGATTTCACCAAAGCTCGTATTTCCAATTTGGCATTGCCTCAGAGAGAAAATGCAACTACTTCTGAGTACATTGGAACATAGATGTTGAGATACAGACAACTAATTTAATTTTGAACTTAATATAAACTTCTTTGAAAGCTTGGTGCTTGGAATTACTTTTAACTTTTGTCAGGTTTTTTGCTTCTGACAGACTGCAAAATTTCCAAAAGGCTGAGCAGTGATAATGCTAACTGTGTGAAAGTGGTAGGGGAACAAAGTTTATCAAGCACATTGATGGGTTCTTTAAGTCACATACTTGCTACAGGGTAGCAAGGCTGACAAAAGCTCCTGTCCCCTCTCCCTGAAGCATATCTTTTGTTAAACAAAGCTAGTTTTCCCCCTTTTCTTCTGAAGAATATGGAATTTAATGTGTTATAATGTTAATTTTATACCACTTCTTCCCTCTGTCATGCTGTGGGAATCTTCTATAGAGAGAAAAAGTTACACATTTAAACAACCTACCATGACAAATCCAGAGTTAACATTCTCCACCTGTAAGAACAACTTAGGTAAATAACATCAAATTTGTGTGTGTGTGTAAATGGAGACTAAATATATGATCATGTTCAATCTGATTTTGGGGAAGTATCGTGTATTGTGCTTCACTCTGCTTCTCAGTTTGGTGATATGCTTGTCTTCTCACAACGTTGTTCTGATATATTTGAAGCATTCTGAGTATTACAGACCAGCTGTAGAGGTTACCATGTGGAAGGCTTATTTACTGAATTCTGCAAACTTAGTTACTGGAGTTCTGCAGGGGGAACATGTCTTTGTGTGTGTTCTGATGTCTTGAAAATCTGGCAATAAAAATACGTAACTCTCATCCTTCTCCAGCACAGACCTCACTGGTTGTAGAAGTTTTCCTGGATGTTTAACTCAGCTTTTTTTCATTTTCAATTTAAGCATACTCATTTTAAAAACATCACATCTGGTCTTCTACATTTGTCTTGCCTTTTTAATGGCACGAAGATTTCTGTGCTTGCTTTTGACAGTTTGTGAACCTTAAGACTTAGATTGCAATTAACATCTAGTTTCAGATCTTCACAGGTGTTAATAAAAAGGATTTGTTTAAGTTAGTGCTATTGTCAGGTCAGTATTGTAGTCTCTGTAGGGAATATGTTCTTGGTTAACTCTTACTGGAACAAGCCTCTGGGACACATTGTCCTTGGCTTGTAGTTACCAAAGTAGCATTCCCCCTGTAATGGACTTCAGGTTGCTTGAGGTAAGGAAATTACACATAGTTTATATGTGGGAAGCTAGATCTGTCTTTGTATAGATCTGGCATTTGATGTGTGTCAGGAACTGTTCGCTTTCATAGTTTGTGTGGGGAGATGAGAAAGCACAGTCCCCTGACGGCTGCACAGTGCAGTTCAATTGCCTACTTATTTAGCTTTGCTTTGTCATAAGATGGATTACTCAGGAACTTAAAGGTTTTGCTTACCTTTGCTTCCATGTGTTTTGGAATGCTAGTTACTTCACTCAATGCAAGTAGTGTTTTTGGCATGGACCAATGCTGCATTTACTGTCTGTGACACATGATGACAGAGGTAGTCAGGCTTTTCCTAGATATGGAAACTGACCGAGAGAAGGATTAGAAAATAAAAGCTTGCTGTGCCAAGTGAGGCTTCATGCAAGTGCTGTGTCTGGAGCAGCAGAGTAAGGAAAACTGGTACCTGAACCGAGGGAGTGTCATGGGCTAGTTGAAGTGGCATTCCCCTTGAGACACAGCTGTATCATTAGACTGCTAATAATTCAACTTGGAGACAATTAACGCCTAAGTAATTTAAATAGTTCATTACAGGCTTCTCAGCTAGCTTTTCCTTAGGGGTTTTTAAAGTCAGGGATAAATGTGGGGGAAATCGGGCTGTCAGGCATTCTGTTAAGTGGTGAAGCTAGTTTGGCAAAACCAGTAGCTGCTGTCAGCTTTTCAGATGAGGTACCTTCAGGTGAAATATTCCAGTTACGTTTGCACGATAAACGCACATGCACTTGATGAAGCAGGGAGCAAAGGTGTATTTCTAGCATCACTTACTGGCAATTTATCCTGTAATTTAATCTTACTTGAACTGTGTTTGTCATGACACCCCATGCTGATGGTAAAAACCTGTTACTGGGAGAGGGTGGATTTTGCCATGGCAATGCTGTTGCAGATTTTTCTGTGTCCTGTTCGATTTGTGCTTTTAACTATGTGCAATAAACACCACGTCCTTATTTCTTGTCTTTGCTGGTGTTCAGAGGCAATACCCAACTTAAACTATTTTAGTATTTGGAATGAGTTTTGGGAAACAAGCTCAGGTTGGAGCAATTTTTTAGCGATGCAGACTTTGAAATAATAAAATAATGAAGTTCTAAACTGACAGAACCATCTGTCAACTGACAGAATATCACTTTAAAGAAACCAGGTATGTTAATCTCGACAGATGAAGTGCATTCCTTTCGTGTCCTTCATGGCACAATGTTTTGCTGAACTTCAGGGATGGGATATTGTCACTCAAAGCACCTACAGTTCAAGGACCAAGTTCCGTCTATGTGCAACAGAGAAAAGCAAGTTGTTTTTCAGGGCCGTGCAGAGAAGCTTCAATGCTGGAAGTTGAGCAGTGGGAATAGTCTAAGATTTGTGAACCTATAGTCTCCTGGCTTCATTCTAAAGGGGTTAATTCCAGCCTTCTGTTACTTCACTAAAATAAGAGCTAGGTGACTTACAGATGTTCTACATTTGTGTTATTTATTTATGACCTTACTAGTCATCTCAAAAATAGCACATTAGTTTCTACCACTTGCTTGTCTTCTAGCTGGGTTAGGCCCAGGGAAGTTTGCTGAGGTACTCAAGGCCGCTTTAAGGTCTCCTTGGAGTCTTCTCCAGGCTGAACAGCCCCAAGTCTCTCAGCCTGTCTCCACAGCAGAGGTGCTCCGGGCCTCGGATCATCTTCGTGGCCCTCCTCTGGACTTGCTTCAAGAGCTCTATGTCCTGCCTGTGTTGGGGGGGCCAGAACTGGACACAGTACTGCAGGTGGGATCTCAGGAGTGCAGAGTAGAGGGGCAGAATTTCCTCCCTTGACCTGCTGGCCACATTTCTTATGATGCAGCCCAGGACACAGGTGACCTTCTGGGCTGCAAGTGCATGTTGCCAGATCATGTTGAGCTTCTTATCGACAAAAACCCCCATGCCCTTCTCCTCATGGCTGTTCTCAATCCATTCTACCCCAAGCCTGTATTTGTGCTTGGGGTTGCCCCAACCCAGGTGCAGGACCTTGCACTTGGTCTTGTTGAACTTCATGAGGTTGACATGGGGCCAACCTTCAAGCCTGTCAAGATCCCACTGGTGCATCCCTTCCCTCCAGCATGTCAAGCACATCACACAGCTTGGTGTCATGAGCAAACTTGTGGAAGGTGCGCTCCATCCCACTGTCTGTATTGTTGACAAAGAAGTTGCTGGCCAGTCCCAGCACCGACCCCTGAGAAGCTCCACTCATCACTGCTCTCCATCTCTGGACATCAAGCTGTTGATCGCTACTCTCAGCGTGCAACCGTCCAGCCAATTCCTTATCCACCAAGTGGTCCATCCATCAAATCCGTTTTCTTCCAGTTTTGAGACCAGGATGTCTCCTGTCTTTGTGCAGGACAGTGTCAAATGCTTTGCTTGTGTCCAGGTAGATGATGTCAGTTGTTCTTCCCTTGTCCACTGGCATTATGACCATAAAAGGCCACCAGATTTGTCAGGCATGATTTTGCCTTGGTGGAGCCATATTGGTTGCTACCAACCACTTCCATGTTTTCCATGTGCCTTAGCAGAGCTTTCAGGAGGATCTGCTCTATGATCCTCCCAGGCACAAAGGTGAGACTGACTGGCCTGTAGTTCCCTGTGCCTTCTTCCTTTTTTGAAAATGGGGGTTATGTTTCCCCTTTTCCAGTCGGTGGGAACTTCACCAGACTGCCATGACTTTTTTCAAATATGATGGGAAGTGGCATTGCAGCTTCAGCTGCCAGCTCTCTTAGGAGCTGCAGATGGATCTTGTCAGGTCCTGTGGACTCATGCACTTTCAGGTTCTTTAGATGGTCTCGAACCTGCTCTTCTCCTACAGTGAGTGGTTCGTTCTTTTCCCAGTCTCTGCCTTCTGTGACCTTGATAGTGTGGTCAG